TCTTTTGCTCAGCGACTTGACATAACTTGACGATATGAATATAGACAAGCCCCGGGATGAAACCGGCCTGCTGAAGCGCCCAATAATGAAGGTAGGGGTGTAACGTGAGCTGAAAGTGAAAATGAAGCAAAAGAAACAATCGAAAACACTAAAATCAAGGGCTTAATTGAAAGGTCGGGTGTGGTATGACGAGGATTCAAAGCGAACAGAGAAAGCAGAAAACGCGAGAGAGTACGCCATACGAGTAGGCGCAGAAAACGGAAACTGGCCGCCTCCAAGCAAGAACATTGGTAAGATCCTAGCGCCCCTGAGGGGCCCTTTGAACGCTATCAGTGGCATCAGCGACGTTCGCAAGCAGCTCCATTGTACCTGTTGGAGGGATTCCTGAAGCTGTCTTATCCCGGGGCTTGCGTTTTACTTATCAGTGCAAAGACATTTGCGTTCAGGTGCTGATTCTCGAAGCAAAAGAGCGTGTTGGAGGAAGAACGCTGTCAGTTTCGATGAAAGCCGCCAGAGGCAACTCTGTGAAAGCTGATCTGGGAGGTTATTCATTTTTACGTTTCAAAAAAATGATCCACGTCTTCACGCAAAAGGGGTTCTTGTTTAGGTACATGGGTTTGTCCCACACAACCGAATATCTTGAAACTAATCGAGGAGTTTGGTCTCAAAGCATTTCCACAGCATTCCAACGGCACGAAATGGGCTCAGTTGGGAAGGCCAGGCTGGAGACCGTACAGCACTAGTCGTCCCTCAAAAAGTATACGGTAGTCAGATGAACCATCACTTGCTCAAGAATTTCTTTCAATCGCAATATTATTATAGAGAATTTTCACTCAGCGAGGTGATGGACTTGTGGTGGAGTGTGCGAAAAATGGAAAAACTTGCAGAGCAGGTGGAGTGAATTGCCTTGTAAAGGCGACTTTCACTACGAAAAGGTGGCCTTAGAAATCGAGGTAGAAGTGGTTAGCGGTGCAGAGATGGAGAAAAAATAGGAATCCGAGAAATTAGACCCTTCTTTGCCCCTCGACTTCTGCATTCATGCAGCTCTTATCAATACCGCCCTTTTAAATGCTCAAGCTTTCTCTGCTGCGGCCAGAATCAGACGGCGAGAGGTTGGGCGTGTCGCGGCGCGGCAGCGGGGATGTCGCCTTGCTAGACTGCTGGAGCATACTCTTCGCTGATGAACGCGGACCGTCCTCGCACCCCAGGGGGCCCGAACTACCTTGGGACTGGTATATTTTCCCTTCTTCCACCTCCGGCCTTATCGTAAAATCCTCCTTTGGAACTCAAGATCCATCCAGAAATGCGATTGTCATAATGCGCAGCATTTTCTTAGCGAATTTCCTTACACCAGTTGGTAACTAGGGACAGCCTTGGTAGGAACGACGTGGCTCCAGTCGACCAAAAATCAGTGGTTGATCAGGAACTGAATTAATAGGCTTGGAAGCAATGAGACGCTCGCCATTGTTTAGATTATTATCGAACTCGCCATCCATTCCAATTCCAACTCCATACAGTAGATTAAGCCTATACATTACTGATGCATAGGTGATTGCTTTATCCTTTCTGACAGGTCCGGTACCAAACTAACGGTCCCGAAGGGATGGAAGACCTGGTTCGATGAGCGGAATCCGATCCAGGATTCGAATCCCGCACTATGCTCGTGGTAGGCAGCACCACTTGCCGCTACACCACTTTCCCCCATCGAAGTGTCATCTTCGAGTAATTATTTCCCTCAACTTCGGAGGAGTGCGGTACACTGCAGCATTATTGGCGCATCGTGAAACAAAACCGAGAACCTAAAGGCGTGGAGGGAGCTTGGTGATTCTACATCAATGAAGAAGTTTTCGGTATAGTGAACGAAAGACGTGGAAGGAACAGCTCGATTTTGACCTGAACTGGATGGAAATAGCACTGGCGGAAATTGTGGTGAAGCCATATTCTCGCACTTTGAAATTCTTTGCTTTCCCAATTTGATTTATGATTGAATGGGAAGAAAAAGGAATAGAAGTGTGCCGAAGTATCGCGGGTCACGTGCCCCGAGTTTCTACTTGGTTCGGTTCCATATTGACAATTTAGCTTCGAAAGCGAGATTTCATAATTGCGTTCTATTAGTGACTATAGTTCTTCTTTAGGTGAAGGTGGAGGATCCGTTCGTTTGGCATCAGGCCAGCGAGTTGAACGGGATATCGTTAGGGCACTGGATCCGGCAGAACGTAAGAGGGCGTAGTGCAAGAGATGCACTTGAGATCGCCGCTCGAGCCACTTATGGCGCAGAACCGAGTAGGCAAGTTTTTTCTAACATACAGGGTATGTATGGTAAGCAAGCATTTATGGCTCATAAACAGAGTGAAACACGACCCAAGATATTATCTATATACCGAAACAATGACACAGCTGTAAAACTGTTTGAGGGCGCCGTCGGATCCGGTTGCAGCTCACATAAGCGTTGGCATGCTT